GTTCCTATTTTCACTCAACACCACAAACCTACATAGTGAGCGAGCGTCTGAGTATGTGATCTTGAACATGTCCATTTATTTGGATCCCGTGAAGGGCGGCCGGGCGGGCGGGCAAGGGGGGTGTGTGTGAGGAGGTGCGCGCGTTGCACTGAGGTACCACGTGGGCACGGCATGGTCTTCGAACCAGGATTTAGCGTCCTTGAAACGGTAGCAGATGGTATTCTTCACCTTGGGAGTGTGGTCTTCTTCTTGGTAAGCAAGCGGCATCGTAGAGATATATGTTTTTTTTTTTAATTCTTTTATTTCTTTTTTTCAGGGGGGATGGGTGGGGGGTTGTTGACGTAGGAGCGGCAGAGACGTCGATAGCATAAAAGACTTTGATTTATACCACAAGTGTCGGCATCGAGTATTTGCGATTGGTAACCAAGTTTGGATTTTTTTTTTCTCATTTGTTTTAGGATGTGAAGACAGGATATGGCGCATTATGAGAACCCACTGTTGCTTTCGTCATTATCCTCTGTAATATTATCCTTTTCTGCACTCAATAGAATTTTAAACAGGATATGAAGAAACACAATAAGGAATTTTATTGAAAGATGAGGCAACTCTTTGGAAACCCTAAAAAATGTACCAAGCAAAAGCACTACATGGATTCTTCTGGATCCATCCGACTGCGAAAAAGTTTTAGGTTCGTATGACGTAACCACTAACCTTAATGAAGGTCATCAGAGTCTTTGTTAGGCCACGTAATAATAAAATAAAGGCTCAAGGTCAGACTGGAGTGAATTATTGCGAAGACTCACGAACAAATGCAAATACCGCGCATGAAAATGGAGATTTGGCGGGTCTTTTTGTGAGGGAGACCGCCTGCGTCCGGCTCTTGTGCGACGCCATTTTGTTGCCGGCTTCGTCTGTTTCTTCAGCTGTTTTGCCTTTTCCCTCGAATTTTACTTTTCGAAATCCCTTTTTTCTTTTTCTTTTTTTTTCTTCGTGTTTCTTTTGTTTTCCTACTTCACAAGTTCCATATTATCTATCTCATTAATTTTATCTTTTCTGTTTTGTTTAGTTTTTGTTCTTTTCTTTTTTACCTTCTATTTTATTTCCCCTCCTCCATGATTCATCATCATCTTCTATTTCTCCTTCCCTTTCTCTTCCCCTCTTCCTCTTCGCCCTCCTCAAACCCCAATCCCTTGCTCGTTGTTGTCGTGGGGGGGGGAGGACCACCCTTGCCATGGCCCTCAGCCTTGACCAATTTTGTATCGTCTTTTCCTCTTATTCTTTCCTTCTTCTTCATTTCATCCTCTTCTTCTGTCCACTTATCTTGATCGTTAATTCGTTTCTACCCTTTTTCACCTTCGATGTCTAGCTCATTTATTTGTTTTAACCATTAATCATTTCCCTTTCCTTTTACCCTTTTTCTCTCTTTTTCTCCTTCTTCTTTTTTCTTGTTCCTCCTCCTCCTCTCCCTCCTCCTCCTCCTCCTCCTCCTCCTCCTCCTCCTCCTCCTCCTCCTCCTCCTCCTCCTCCTCCTCTCCCTCCTCTTCCTCCTCCTCTCCCTCCTCTTCCTCTTCCTCCTCCTCTCCCTCCTCTCCCTCCTCTTCCTCCTCTTCCTCTTCCTCCTCTTCCTCCTCTTCCTCCTGCTCTCCTTACTATAAATTCCCTTCCTGTCTCCTCCTAATTACCCTTCAATTACTGCTATTTCTTGTCTTCGAAGTGATTCTCGGATTTCCTGGAATTAGCAACTGGTCTCTTCTTCTTCTTCTGTTTCTGCTTCTGCTTGTGATCCCTCCTCCTCCTCCTCCTAGCCCTTCCCTCCTCCTCCTCCTCCTCCTAGCCCCTTCCCTCCTCCTACCTCATCTTCTCCCTCCCTCCCTCTCTCATCACTCCTCCTCCTCCTCCTCCTCCTCCTCCTCCTCCTCCTCCTCCTCCTCCTCCTCCTCCTCCTCCTCTTTCAACCCCTACTTTGCCTCCGCCTCAGTCTCCGCCTTTGTCTCCGCCTCCTTCTCCTCCTCCTCCTCCTCCTCTTCCTGAACATCCTCCTCCTCCTCCTCCTCCTACTCCTCCCCCTTCAACTCTGTCTCCGCCTCTGTCTCCGCCTTCGTCTCTTCCCCCTCCTTCTTCTCCCCCCCCCCCTCCTCCTCCTCCTCCTCCTCCTCCTCCTCCTCCTCCTCTTCTTCTTCCTACCACATCCTAATTCTATTACTACTACCTCCTTTTTTATCCTCAATCCTCATCCTCATCTTCATTACTCTATTGGAAAGACAGAGGGACCGAAAAGACCCAGCAGTTCACACGAGTATATATCTATCGGATATATCTATCGGATATATCTATCGGATTCTCCTTTGAATTAACGACTTCCTGGAACGAGGTTGTCGTGAAAATTCCGCCCATGTTACCATCTCTCGAATTTCAACGACTTTTGGGCCACTTCTCCTTCCCTTTGTTATGTTTGTGTTGTTGTAGTTGAAGCGTTCGTCGTGTTAGAACTAGAAATGGA